ATACTCTCTCTCTCTCTATATATATATATAAATTGCTTTGTAAACTTGTGTGCTATTTAAGTGTTAGGAGTGTTTAGGATGTGATGATATTTCCAACCTAAATTCCTCTGATTACATTTGGAGCTTCTGACATAGCCTTTCCTTGGTAGAGGTTTCACAGGAACTTCCTGATAATTATTACTTCGACAGCCGGTGAAGATTTTTCTTACTTACTTCCTCTGCTCCTCTTGATCACGTGAGGCTGCGAGCAGAGCTAAAATTTATGCCTGTGTTACAAAGAAACCCAGTTAAGATATGTAGAGGAGCCTTAGTGGTACAGTGGTTATATATCAATGAAATTAGTAATTGTATCAATTGATTTCTATTTACACTATTATAAAGTACTGAAGTTATCAAACTTCCAAGAAAGAAAGAGTTTGCAAAAGTAATACAACTTAATTTATTCTAAGGCAATGAGACAATAAGAAATCTGATGTAAAATAAGCAAGTAGAATAGAAATTTAAACATGCCAAAAATGTCCATTTACAAAGCAAAAATGGACTCTGCTGCCCATCAGTTACATGACAATAAGTCACTAAACTTTTCTGTATCTCAGTTTCCAAATAAAGGAGTTGAATTAGGTTACCTCCAAGGTTCAAATATTCTGTGATTTTATAAAGTGCAAATGAAGAATTGTTCTTTTGTGTGCCAATACGGTTTCCTCTTCAGACGGCCAAGTTATTGTGATACAAGGTATTCCGGAACATAGGAAGCAATGGCAGCAAGAAGCGCCAGGGACCTTAATGAATGTCTTGGCAGCGGCACGTCTAATCAGTAGCTCATTTTCTGCAAACGAAGGAAAATGTGGTATGTAGTTTAAGAATATAATCAATCGCCTGAGGAATTTTGTCAGAAAGACTTGTAAATGCAGAAAACCATTGCCATTGAGTTGATTCCGACTCATAGGGACCCTATAGGACAGAGTAGAACTGCCCTACAGGGTTTCCAAGGCTATAATCTTTACAGAAACTGATTAGAATTCAGCAATTGTAGAAGGGGCCACACTCCCTGAGTGTATGAAATCATTTGGTATTATTACTTATCTCAGTTAGAACAGTTTTTTTATTATTGTACTTTAGATGAAAGTTTGCAGAACAAACTAGCTTCTCATTAAACAATTAGTACACATATTGTTTTGTGACATTGGTTACCAACCCCACAATATGTCAACACTCTCACTTCTCGATCTTGGGTTCCCTACTACCAGCTTTCCTGTCCCCTCCTGCCTTCTCATCCTTGCCCCTGGGCTGGTGTGCCCATTTAGTCTCATTTTGTTGTATGGCCCTGTCTAATCTTTGGCTGATGGGTAAACCTCAGGAGTGACTTTATTACTGAGCTAAAAGGGTGTCTGGGGACCATACTCTCGGGGTTTCTCCAGTCTCTGTCAGGCCAGTAAGTCTGGTCTTTTTTTGTGAGTTAGAATTTTTTCTACATTTTTCTCCAGCTCTTTCCAGGACCCTCTATTGTGATCCCTGTCAGAGCAGTCGGTAGTGGTAGCTGGGCACCATCTAGTTGCACTGGATTCAGTGTGGTGGCGGCTGTGGTATGTGTGGTCCATTAGTTCTTTGAACTGATCTTTGCCTTGTGTCTTTAGTTTTCTTCATTTTCCCTTGCTTCTGAAGGGGTGAGACTAGTGGAGTGTCTTAGATGGCTGCTCACAAGCTTTTAAGACCCGAGACGCTACTCACCAAAGTAGAACATAGAACATTTTCTTTATAAACTATGTTATGCCAATTGAGCTAGATAGAACATTGTTTTTTAAAACATAGAAAGAGAAAGAGAGAGAGCAAAAACTGCATTGAAGGCAGTGGTGTTTCAGTGGTAGAATTCTCCACTCCCATGCAGGAGACCCAGGTTCAATTCCCAGCTATTGCATCTCATGTGCAGCCACCACCCATCTGTTGGTGAAGGTGAGTTAGAATTGTATGTTGCTATGGTGCTGACTGGGTTTCAGCTGAGCTTCCAGACTAAGATAGACTAGGAAGAAAGGCCTGGCAACCTACTTCTAAAAATCAGCCAGTGAAACCCTATAGATGACAACGATTCAGTCTGCAATGATATGAGAATGGCACAGGATCAGGCAGAGTTTAGTTCCATGTGCTTGGGGTTGCCATGAATCTGGGGTGACTCAACGGCAGCTAACAAGGACAATAACTTAACCACAAACTGCAGTAATTGCTTTTCTTTCTTGGCGATAAGGGCTGAGTCAAAGCAGGGTTAAGCATTGTCTCTAAGAGAGGTGGGGCTGGCATGGGCTTCGAGGAGGAAGCTTTGGGGAGGGTTGGCCTGGGAAGCCAAGGACTGTGGCCCCAGGAGAGGGAGGAGGGGCCAGCCATGCCCATCTTTCTAGACCCTGAGATGGCCACACTTGGTGGTTATACTGTGCCTTCTTGCTTTTGCTTTCATGAATTCTTGAAAAGGTTCGTGGGAAACGCTTTGGATTTATTATGCCAAATATGTTAATTCGTGAGCATACTGTATTTTCACATGGACGACTTTACATGAGGCATACGGGCAGTTTATTTAGTAAGTGGGATTAGAAACAGAGATTTTCAACCAAGGTGGAATCCAGAGCAAAGTGCAGATACTCTCTTTTGGAATCTGCTACACTTGTTCTGTTAGCTTCTGATCCGGTTGTTGGCCTCATCGCCTTTTCTTTCCCAGCAGCAGTGTTGCTTGACTTCTTGTCTGTGGTCATTTCTTCTCTTAAGTCCACCTTTTGCACCCCTGGTAAATGATCCTCCTACAACAGAACAAGTCTCTTCCCTGCTTAAAATCCCACAAAAGGATTCCCCTTCACCTTCAGAATAAAACCCAGATTCTTGGGGAACCCAGGTCCATGCACTTTGAATACTGGATGGCTTCTCCCAGCATAGCAGCTGCTAGCACTTCTGCATTAGCAAATACTTCTCCCTGGATTTAGAACACATCTCCCTGCCCATTCTCCTTTGCTAAAATAATTCCTCCTTGAAGATTTCACTCTGATACGACCTCCCACCCATGCCTACTGTTATGTGTTACTGCTAGTTATTCTCACCCTACTTTTCCTCCACACCACCAGACAGGGCTTGCAAAGGTGTCTGGAATAAATTGTTGTTAGCTGCTGTGGAGTTGGCCCCCAACTCATGGCGATCCCGTGCACAAAGAAATGGAATGCTACTTGGTCCTACCCATCCCTATAACCGATTATGGATTGGACCACTGTGATCAATAGGGTTTTCACTGGCTGCTTTTCAGAAGTAGATCACCAGGCCTTTCTTCCTAGTCTGTCACAGTCTGGAAGCTGACCTGAAAACGTGGTAGAGCCTTAATGTTTTTTCTTTTTTTTTGAATGAATAAGAGCCTGCAATTTAATTAACATGCTTCTCTTTAATCCAAAAATTGTAAGCTTTCTGTAAGTTCTCAAGCTTGTGTACTCTCTTGTCATTTATCTGTCCTGACAATTTCACATTCATTTAGACTCACACTCAGATTCATTCACGTTCAATTATTGTGAAATTAATGAAAAAATACATGTGCTTACATTCTGTTCTTATATGTAACATATGGATTGTAAATTTTTATTAGTTGCTATGGAAAACCTGGATCTGAGTTAAACTACTTGCTGTGTGCCACTGATTGGCCACTGTTTTAAATGACAACAAAGCATCTGTGCATGTGCCCCTAACATCGATCTTGGTTTTATTTCCCTGATTAATATCCCCACAAGACTGTAATTCTCTGATCATAATATCACAATGCACTTTACTCTAATTTCCTTTTTTTTAATTGTTGTACTTCAAGTGAAAGTTTACAATTCAAGTCAGTCTCTCATACAAAAATACATACATACATTGTTACATGACCCCAGCTGCTCTCCCTATACTGTGACAGCACACTCTTCCTTTCCACCCCTGCTTTCACATGTCCATTCAACCAGCTCCTAACTCTCTCTGCCTTCTCATCTCACCTCCAGACAGGAGCTGCCCATTTAGTCTCATGTATCTACTTGAGCTAAGAAGCACACTCTTCACGAGTAACATTTTATGTCCCATAGTCCAGTCTAATCTTTGTCTGAAGAGTTGGCCTCGGGAATTGTTT